GTGCTGGCTCCCTGCAGGCAATGGCATGCTGTTGTGCAAGGCGCGAGGAGAGTCACGAACATGGCAGCAGCAGTGCCAATTCGAACGGGAACAGGGATTGCCAGCAGCAGCAGCGCGTAGGTGAGTTTGGCAGCACGAGTGGGAAGGGGGGGTTGCGTGGGTCAGGGAGGCCACCAGTTCTCATTCAAAAAGAGAGGCCTGCAGGCCCTGTTTTTTCTTTTCTTTTTGAAAGCGGCGGCGGCCTCCACGAGGCTGTGGGAGGCAACCCAGGCTGTTTCCTGGCCGGTACCTCCGCCCAGCAAGAACCCGCTGGGAGCAACCGCATGCCAGGCGGCTTGGTGCATCAGCCGGTTCTACCAGGGGGCTTCCAGGCCGAGGAGACCCCCCCGCTCGAACCGGGGACCAGCACTGGTTAGAGGTTGCTATGTCGATTGTGTGTCCCGTCTCATAGTTGAGCAGGTATCTACGCCGCTGTTTGAAGATAATCTGACTCATCTGCATTACATAGATAAGAGCTTCATGGTCTAATAAACAACCTACAGAACGAGGTCACAGAGTTTTATACATACTAACAGTATATAATTACGCGCTGCAGCTGCTGGCAATCCTTGTTCCCGTTCGAATTGACTAAATTGTTTAGGTTGTGTGGGTTGTATATTACAGTTTCGCAGAAAATTGGTTAGGTTGTGTGGGTGCTGCGGAGCAGTGGTACATGCATTGAATTCACTGATATGCAAGTCGTGTTGTACTGGTGTACTATCTGGATAGTACACAGTGCTATGTCGGTTGATCCATACCGAGGACTATATGGAGTGGGTGATTGTTTAGGTTGTGTGGGTGCTGCAGAACAGTAGGACATGTGTTCAATGCACCGATATTCAAGTCGTGGTGTGCCGATGTAGTATCTTGATAGTACACAGTGCGATGTCAGTTTATCTATAGAGAGGACTATGGGGAGTGGGTAATGCAGTTGCTGTGTCGTAGTATGTGAACTGGGCACTACCATGCCAACTGTCGGTTATACATGGGCCTCGCCGCACCAGCACACGGAAGAAAAACAAAGAAAACTTATGCATCTGGACAAAGCAGGCGGCAAAATACACTTGTTACTGTTATATACCAAATGGATGAATCATTCCATTTTCTGTGGAAAGATGCATTAGTTTCATTTTGTGTGCCGGTGTGGTCTGGAGCGTGCAACTAACTTGTTGATTTTTTTTTTCTCGCGACTTGCTGATCATTTTTCTGTGATCTTCAGATAAGGAACTTTTTCTTTGGCTGTTTTGCAGAAAGACATTCTGTGAGATCGCTGTGGTGTGGGTGTGGTGGGGAGTGAATAACTTTATCGTTTTTGGCATCCATTGGGACATTGTAAGAAGAGAGAAAGAGAGAAAGAGAGAGAGAGAAAGAGAGAGAGAGAGAGAGAGACAGAGATAAAGACAGAGAGAGAGAGAGATGTGGATCGTGGAGGAGCAGTTCGACTCGTTGTTTTTTCTGCATAACCCTCGCCGCAACAATTCATGTCAGCAACTTACTGGAATACCCTAACTCCTCTTGTCTCCTTCTTCCTCTTTGCCACACGGCGATCTCGCATGTAAAGATCATGACCATGGCCAGTCAACCTCGCCAGAAAATATACTCTTTGTACCCATAAAAAAACGCAAAAAAAGCGGGGGGGGGGGGGTCCTTCGGCCAGACGGAAGGAAGCGTGAGTGCATTATTGTCGTAATGCTTATTCAGACTCGCCGGTGGAATAGGAACCGGACTGACGCTCCCCAGAATGGAAAAGGAGCCAGGATCGTAAGGTCCTGTTTAAAAAAAAAAAAAAAAACTGTGGATAAGACCATTTACTAAGTAAAAGAACGGAAAAACGGAGAAAAACAATGAGCCACACTGCTCCTCCATGATCCACATCTCCTCCCCTCCCCCTCCCCCCTCCCCCCCCCTCTCTCTCTCTCTTTTTTCTTACAATGTTGAATGTCCCCATCGCTGACATGATGAGCATTACGTGACGGTCTACTAAACCACTATGTGGATAAGACAATTTAGAAAAAAAAAAAGAGAACAAAACGGAAGAAAACAAAACAATGTCCCAATCACTGCCACCTGTCCTGGCGCTCACAAGAGCCTGACAGGGCATGCACGGTGAAAAAAAAAAAAGACACCAGCCCCAAAAACCCTACGCACAGCGTTCTGGCACAGCCCCAACAATGCCCAACACGACAAAAATAAAGAAATCCCTCAGGATTCGTACCAAAACGAAACAGAACATCACCATTCTGGCACTGCCCTAATGATGGCCGAAACAACACCTGAAAAAAAAAAAACAAAAAAAAACTCGCATGCGACAAAGATCACCCAACACACCCACTAGTCCCGAGTGTCGAGAGGGTTTCATGCAAACGTTATGCGAGACACACCTTACAGTTTGATTACAACTTAATCATGCTGTCTGTGGTTTTGCAAGGCATGAGACGGAATCCAGGGGTTGACGCTCTCAGTTCATGTCCGCCTTCTTTGGGGCAGGTGGGCTGGTGGATTGGGGTAGGGGGGAGGTGGGGCTGAGGCGGGAGAGAAAACCGTTGTCACCTCCTACATGTGTTCTCGTGCGCATCTACCAACATTTAAACACTATCAACCTAGGCTACCAGGGTGGCCCGGGGTCACTTGCCCGGCCGGGCAAAGAAAGTAAAATAAAAATAAAAATATTTTTTAATTTTATTTTTTATTATAAATTTGGTGAAGAATTTCGATGTGACCCTGAGGCAAAAGTTGCTCATTGTATTTTTCTGCGTAAAATAGTATTTTTCTGCGTAAAATAGTATTTTTCCGGATTTTTTGGATTTTATTATTATTATTATTTTTTGCTGGGATCTAGGCTACCAGCCGGGCGGCCCGGGTCCCGGGTGGCCAGCCCGTGCAAGGACCAGGGAAGTTCCCAGCAAACAAAAAAAAAAAAATCCAAAAAATCCAAAAAAATGCAGAAAAATAAACTGAACAACTTTTGCCTCAGGGTCACATCGAAATTCTTCACCAATTTTAAAATAAAAAATAAAACTTAAAAATAAGTTTTTTATTTTTATTTTATTTTTATTTTTTTGGCCTGGCCCGGCAAGTGACCCCGGGCCACTCTGGTAGCCTAGGCTGGGATAGTATTTTTCCGGATTTTTTGGATTTTATTATTATTACTTTTTTGCTGGGATAGTTTTTTTCGGATTTTTTGGATTTTATTATTTCTTTTTTTTTTTGCTGGGACCTTCCCTGGTCCTTGCACGGGCTGGCCACCCAGGACCCGGGCGGCCCGGCTGGTAGCCTAGCTATCAACACACAGAATGCAAGAGGGGTTCGTAAGAAGGGGGAAGAGGGGGAGGGGGGGAGGGACAATTGGGCAAAGCTTTCCAAGGACCGCAAGGCCACACAAAAGCCCATCCACTCCCTGAGAAATGCAGTCTGCAAACGTCAAGCACTGACGTAACTGACAAGGAGGCAGACACTCAGCAGACTCGCCATAGCATACAGCGATGACTTGAGAAGGACGCTGAGATACAACAAGCAAAGCAACTTTCCTGTACCCTTTAAACCACCAGTAGCCTACGAGCCACCTTCCCAAACCTCTTTTTTGGGGGGCTACCAAAGCTCTTTGTTTCATGTGAACGCAACTGGTAGAGTAGCGGGCGACTGGCCCTTCAATGTGGGCGCCCAGTACTTGGTGTTTCTTCCTTTTTCGGCTTGATTTTTTTTTCCCTGTTGTTTTGTTGAAAGAATAAAAAATCCGTGTTGGGCAGTCGCGACCGAGGAAAGAGCTGCCAACGACATTGGTGGCAGGCCTGAGGGCTTCGCTCCACTACTTCCCAAATGTGCAAAAGAGGAATGGATCTTTCGCTAGAACAGTGGAAATATACACAGCCATGATTTTTTTCTCTTGTGCATGTGGTGAGCAATGGAGCCAGGCCCCAGGCATATCTCGTAAGCATGGGGGACCTTGCTGACTGCCCGCCACATGCACAAAAGACGAAAGTTATGTGCTGGCGCTGTCTTTCTTTTCCTTCTTTTTTTTGTGGGACCGTATCTCTATTCATGCGTGTGTCATCCGTGTCCAGGGCCATATGCTAATCTTCTCTGTATCGTTCCGAATTATGCAGCAAAGTTCATTCTCATGTGGACAGAGTGTAGCTGCCCACTACGTCCAGAAAAGACAAACTGTGTGCTGTACCCTCCTCGTTTTCTTTTTTCTTTTTTTGACCATATCTCGATTTATGTGTCATCCTTGCCCTGGGCCGTGTTGTTCCAAGTTACGGCACAAGGTGCATTCCCACTTTGAACAACTGGAGGCAGCGCAGCTGCCCAGCCTCCTCGTTTTAGGACTTGCAGCGCGTCAAACATGCCATTTCAGGGGCAGTACGCGACGTTTTCGGGGCAGTCCCCCCCCCCCCCCCCTCCCCTTCCTCCCCACCTTGTCTCGGATGTTTTCTTTTTTGTACGAGCCAACACTGGCAGTACCCTCACTCCTCACCACACGAACAAAGGACAAACGTTCTGTTTTGTTTTGTTTTTCTGCTTTTTTTTTTCGTTGTGAGAAATCATGATATTGTGGTCACTGGTCGTTGCTTCTCGTTTTCAAAACGAACGACCTCCGTAGCTCTGTCGAGGCTCTACCCAGCCTCTACCGACCCTGCCTAGGCCTTCCATGAATTCAGGAAGAGCAACAAGTTTAGCTGGGCGGGGTACTGGTGGTTTAAGAACGACATGGTGTACATAGCTAGAAAGGGATCGCTTGGAAAAGGCCATCCTTCTCGAATGGAGAAGACAAGATTGCCCTTATTCGGGGTAGAAATTCCACTTTCTCTCCCGAATGAGCAATGAAAGGACGCAACAGGAAAAGAGGCTTGAAAGTGGAGAGAAGGTATACTCAGAAGGGTCGAAACTTGTAAATTGAGGACGAGGATGGAGGAGGGAAAGCGAATGTGGGAAGAAAAAGAAGGCTGAATCAAAGTCCATACCTGAATCTCAACCACAGTGCTCATGACATGAGCACGCCCTTGCTCTTGGATAGCCTTCTTGAAGATTTCTTCGCTCTCACCGGAATCCATCATCCGCTCGACCTCCTCTTCCGTCGGCTTTTGTCCGGTAACGGTGAAAACTCTCCTGGACAAGTTATCCCTCTGCTCATTCCTAATATCCTCCCTCACCCCGTTGAATTTTCCCATCAGCTCGTGGAACTTGCGTAATTCAACTCCAGTTCGGATGGCTCGCATTCTGTCTGTGGCATTTATGGGGCCGCCACCACGAAGCACGCTCTCGTTCTGGCCACTCAACGACTCAAGACGTGATTTCACATACTTTGCCTTGTGACTCACCTCATTCACCCTCTGGTTCATTCTCTCCATGATAACCTTAACTTGTGCACTGCTTGTGGCCAATTTGCTTTCCTCTTGATCATCTTTCAGCTTTGCCAACAATGACTCTATCACTCCCATTACACCATCGATCTCCTTAATATCTTTTTCCAAGTCAGCCATTTTTTGCACCTCAGCTGGGTCAGGGACAACTCCCGTTTCCACATCCCTGGCAGGGTCACTCCCACCGTAAGACCTCCTCATGCCATCGTCATCGTCCTGTCCTAATTTGATCAACCTCCTGAAACTCGCTGTTTCCAGAAGGTTATTCATTGTTTCGGTCTATGCAGCAGCGCTTTGGAATTCACTCCCCCAGGCTGGCCCCAAAATACTCGCACGTTTTGAAGTGGGTGGATTATAGACGCGTCCTATTCTACTTCAGTCTTAGCAGCTCTGTACCAGCCACATTCCGGTTCCAGCTCATCACATTCACCTTCCCCTTACAATGACATCGCGCTGAACTCACTGCCCTGCCATATTGAGCCAACAGACCAAGTGACGACAATACTTGCACGGTCAAATCCACTGCACGGAGCAGTTGCATGGTTTCAAGCGACCTGTGCATGAAACAGCAGCCACGGCCTAAAACAATACACAAGCTAGAGGACAGATACAAATGCAATCAGTTGCNCAATCAGTTGCATGGTTTCAAGCGACCTGTGCATGAAACAGCAGCCACGGCCTAAAACAATACACAAGCTAGAGGACAGATACAAATGCAATCAGATTCCACAGCTCAGGCGTGCAGCACTAGTTACGGGGACATCTAATAACACCCATCGTTGCTGCTCACGTTGAGCATGTGCAGCATATTTGAATGATTCAGTTCGGGAAAAGGCAGCATACTTGGATATGATAACTTTGTCTTTCCTGAAAAAAGGATGAGCTGTTTGTACTACAGTGTCTAACAGAGGTTTGAAGTCATCATTGGTACATACTACTACAGTCCTGCTTCGTTGCAAGTACAGGTTCGCAACAATGCAGCAACATGCACAGACATAAACATTGTGAAGACATATCGACCCTCACCTATTGCTGGTGTCTGGACACACACACACACACACACACACACACAACCCTCACCTATTGCTGGTGTCTGGACACACACACACACACACACACACACACACACACACACACACACACACACACACACACAGATGGGGACTGTCTAGCCATGGGGTGATAGAGATAGTGGTGGCGTGAGTGGGTTGTTTGGGGTGCCAGTGCTGCTGCGCTTGTGGGATCTCCAAGTTTTTCCCGACTATGCTGTGGTGGCGTGAGTGGGTTGTTTGGGGTGCCAGTGCTGCTGCGCTTGTGGGATCTCCAAGTTTTTCCCGACTATGCTGCCTCTGGTCGGTGCTTTCTTGCTGGCGAAGCCTTCTGTTTCAGGTATGTTGTCTCCTGCCGTTTACCTTTGCTTTTATAGATTGAAAGAAGTTCAGAAAACTATATCTTTGTGCGAGTGTGCCGCTTCGGTGTCAGGCGTGTGTGTGGGCACTTCCCACTCAACCACACAAACGTAGGGAACCTTGCACCTTCTATTATATTGCTCATCTGTACGTTTTTGTTTATGGATGTTTTTTTTTGTTTGTATTTGGATGGAATGAGAGAGAGGGTTTCGGGATGTTGACTAGCACACAAACACACACACCCACACACACACACACATTGGCTTATACAATGACCCTCAAAAGTTAAGACTAAGAAACCTACATTTTTCTGGGAAAGTTGCTGTCTTTTATCTGTTTCTGGAGGTGTCCGAGTCCGAGTCTGTTTTGATGTGTTTTCTGACACTGTGTGCCCTGCTGATAATGTATGGATGTACGTGTTCCTATCGAAATGAAGTCTGAGTCTAAGTGTGTGTCGATGTGCGAACTCTGTAACCTCTTACCTTGTTTTTGTGTACCCGACATGGGTAGGTTAGATACGGGGCTCAGTACTGAAATTTGCCTATAGAGACCGTATCAGGAATTCTAAGAAGGCCAGTGGTAGAAGCAGAGTGGTTTCGGGACACTGAAGGGATTCTTCAGCAACTCAAAGAGGCCCTAGAAATTGGTAGGTAGGGTAATTGTAGGTAATGATGGGACCAGTACTGTGTGTAAGGCCCTGGATAGGTCTAGGTACATGGTCTGCAGGTGGGATAACAGTCTGCGATGATGTTCCCGGCAGGAAACCATCAGGCCCAATTGCACAGGTAGAGGCTGAGAGTACACAGAGCGGAAGGACCGGAGGCTGAAAAGCTCGTGTATGGTTCGATGCATTAAGTAGTCCAGGTCCTTCACTCAGCAGTCATGCAGCAGATCCCCCAAGAGAGAATAGGTGTCGGAGCACCTGGGTGCTGGAGGAGTTGAGGGTGATGGAGAAGCAGGGGAGAGCCTAGCCGTGGTGGGAGTAGCAGACACCCTCATGGGGCCATGGAGTTTGCAGGAGGGCATAATAGGTGAGAGGAGAAAGGAGGGAACCATCAAGAAGACTTATATGCGGCTAAGGTGTGGCTTCATCTTCACGTCCTTGGTTGGCGCTGCATCACCAAGGCCCCTGTTGAGGTAACGGCTGAACTAGGACTTCATCCGTGAGTCAGGCAAGGCGGTAGGGGATGGGAGAGGCAGGGTATGTACTGCGTTGTACGAACTCTGCACATTCCCTGTTGAAGGGGACGATCTGCCATAGCCAGTAGCGCTCCTAGCAGGAGAGAGAAGAAAGAGAGGGCTAAAGGAGAGTTCTTTCAGCATTAGGGGATCTTTCAGACAATGACTCTTCCTCATTCATACATTCATTGTTATTATATTATATTGAATACTGAAGAGTTATGTGAGGGATCACAATGGACGTGGGGAGGAGGGAGGAGACATTAATCTTATCTTGTGCTCCTCTCCTTCTTTTCTTCATTCCCATCTCGTACCGTCTTCTTCCACTTCTTTGAGTTGCCATGAATGGCATTCTCCCGAAGTTGAGGTTTCCTCTACCAATCAGTCAGGACGATCACCGTTATTCATAATGTGGGGGAAAAGGGGGGGGGAGGGGGGTATTGATGCTTCCTTGACAACGCAGACAAACACACCCAGACACACCCACTCCAATGCAAGGACTACGATTCTGAAGACCACCAGTTCCTCATTCATTTTGAAGCTGTAACCTCCCCCGAGAAGCACACAACCATCAATGTGGGTGGTGCTGATGGATGCTATGTTTGTGTTTGGTGAGCACGCGCCTGATTGAAAAAGAATGGCCAGGTTTGTCCGTTCTTCCTTAGCAATTCCCTTTCCACATTTTTCAAAGGGGACTGTGCCAAAAGGCCATCCAGAGCTGTAAACACAACAGCTCAGAATAACTCACAACCGACTTGCAAACCAAACTTGCATGGTGCCTTCTCATGGAAGACATGCACTAAAAAAAGAGAAAGAAAGAGCGGACGCAACAGACCTGCATATGGACGTGCAACTGTGCGAAGCGTCGCACATCAACATACAGCGCACACACGATGCTCCGAGCTTGAGCAACCGATGTCCCAGAACCTATACTGCTCTACACAAATGCGCATAACAGAGCAGGAGAATCCTCGACATCTCCCTCTCTGGACTCTGCAGACAGTTTTACCATGTCCTGATCAAACTACTGCATATTTTACACAAAGCAGCCCACTTCCAACCGACATCGTAGACTGCAACCACTTCCATCAAAGTTGCACACTACTCGACGGCACGCGCAGTGACCGAGATGGTATAAACGACTGACAGACTAATCAGCGCACAGTTATACGGACAAGTAACCCTGTTCTTTTTGTCCTTCGTTTACCCTATTCACTAACACTGACATATGTCCTTACACTCACATGCAGTTTTCACGCTTATCGTCAGAAATTTTCACGCTTATCGTCAGAAATTGTTCGACTTCCCATGACCACAACAAGACCGGATACTCACCACTTTCTTCAGACAAATCATCGCCACCTCCGGCCAAGTGTTGCCCATGCTGCCGTAGTAACACGAACATCAGACACAACACCACCAGTCCGTAAGTCTTCTTCCCCAGCAGCACAGCAAGTAATGCATTTGAGCTCACCCTACACAGACGCTCTTTCTGACCAGCGGGCACGCACTGCGGCCACTTTACTTGTATTTATTAATAGCAACACGAACGAATTGCAAGGAACATGAATGTGGACGAAGCACAGAAATCCAGATTGCAAAATCACACGGAAGTCCAAGTAGTCAAAGCAAGAGCAGATAGCACAATGGAACCGAGTAACCATCCATTTGAGAACGATACAGAAGAATCGTGAGTCAATGTCCAAGCCCAATCGGGCAACACCAACAGCATAACCCAATGTAGCTCTCTCTTGAATGGCGCCAGGCGCCCTACCTACTCTACAGCCTATCACTACAACTACAGCATGGAAGCAACCAGACAACTTGACGACCAGCGAGTGATGATGTCAACACCAATGCCGACCTCCTCTCCACCAGGTACGTCCCACTCTTCACCCTCACTCTCCCTTGTTATTCCACAGCACCCTTCACCTCCGAAGAACCACCTTCGCCCTTCACCTCCTACTGCGCCCACAGGCAGCCCGGCTATGGCCGCCAGCGCCCTGCGCCCAGGCTGCGCTCTACTGCTTAGCGCCAGCCTGCCCTGCTCAGCCTAGCGCAGCGCAGCACACATGCAACGCAGCAGCGTGCCGGCCTTGCTCGCGATGGCCAAGATCCCTGCCCACTCGCCCTCTCTGCCTATATGCCAGTGTTGCGTGTGGGCGGCCTCCCTTGATCCTGCGCCTGGGCCCCAGTACCTGTACCCAGGCCCAATGCGGTTGTGGCCCACGCAGTACAGTTGTGCCTCTTTCATCCAGGCCTGAGTCCAGATCCAGATAGTGGACCGGTATCCCATTGGCATTTTCGGCCTCTATTTCCAGTATGCAATGTCGGCCTCACGTTTATGTGCCCAGGGCCTAACCAACTGAAATGGGCCCTGGTCCTTCTGCAATTTGCAGAGATCCGGTACTCGGTGCACTCCAACCAACTGGTGTGCGGCAACTGTATGGACCTCACTTCGTGAAATGTTTGAACAGAGGGCTCTCGTTGATTTGCTGGCCCGCCTTCAATTAGGGCGGGCACGATGCTTGCTGGGGGCCTTGGCCCAGAACATGTACACCACGGCATCTGTTACACACGCTCGTCATGCACACAGGTAGCCATGACTCGAACTTTTAATGACAGTCGCTGTTGGACCACTTCAGGAATAACAACAACGATTTGTTGGACTGAGGTTTTATGAATGACATCACCTGTCAGCAGCTGGGGAAAAAAAATCTTCGTGATTTCACAACCGATCTGCACTAAAGCTGACTCCAAGGCTGGCACATGGGTGTAAGAAAGATGGTTATTGATGGATACTGTTTGCAGTGAATCTATTGCATGCACCTGCCTTATTTACTGAAATACCGGGGAACAATTCCCAAACTCCACCCCACCTTATCTCCTCCTAAGCCCCCCCCCCTTCCCCTTCTCCCCCTCTCTAGCCTTTGCCTCCCTTCCCTCTCCGTTCCTTGCCCACACCCCACCCATCCAAGCCACCCCAATGGAGAAATCGCCAGGACAAAGACCACATGCGGGTGGTGCAGAACAGCTGCATGTACACAAGATATTCAAATGAGGACCGAATTCAGAGTTCTGCTGAACAGGAAAACCCCATTAAAAAAAATAGTGCTATCTGTGTGACTCTTACCATTAAAAAAAAATAGCACAAACTCAGAACGAAGTGCAGCGTGTGACTTAATTTCCTTGACGTCTAAATAGAGGTGAGATATACCTGGCATGTACATTGGTACTGATTCGCCCAGCTGCCTCTGCACAGCTGTGTTTGCTGGAGGGCCTCTGTATTTCCTGTCAAATCTGTCAGCCGGATCTTCCTCTGTAGGGAACAAAAGAGCAGAAAACACAAACATCTTAGGGCATACTCACTTTCGTACTTTTGACAATGAATCCAATAGCAATGCAGGGCATATTCAGTCAAGAAAACGGATTTTGACATGCTCTTTCTTAGAGAACTACTGCTGTTGATCTCTCCCATTGAGATTTATGCTAGAAGGGAAAGGCAACACTCCACTACATTTGCACCACCAACCACCAAGAGGAGTCGAGCGACAAAAACAAGAACCTGCACCACTACCGAGCAGGCAGTTAGCAACCTCAACTTTTCAACATACTCTCCAATCAAACGACGCAGCTGCAAAATACGTTAGGGACTTGAACCAAGAAGACAGCTAGGGACTCGGACATTCGCAAAATACTCTACTTGGATGACATACATTTATAATCTGAAGACTCTATCAGGAACACGCACGCGTTTGATGGTAACAATGTTTTCCCCATTCAGTGGCATTCACGGGATTTTTTATCTTGTCCTTTTTTTTCCCTTTCTTTTAGAGGGCAACGGCCTTGAGATATCATCATCCAATTGAACGTCCCCAAGCAATTACCTGATTCCATCAGTATTCAAACTCAGGTCTGTTTATCAAGCATCAACAGTTGGCAAGTGTGTCATTCAGCCACATGCACAGGGGTTTCATACGGCTGTTTCACTGTATAATATGACAAGTACAGATTCAACCGCACACAGCAGTAAACAGAACGTGCACAAACCTCAGGGATACTGTTTACAGATGTCAAACTAAAAATGCATACATACATAAAGTCGGAAAAGCCGTGCATACGGGGAGGACCGCTCAACTAGGAATAACAATTGTTGCCGTCCAGCGGTCTGTTCTCTTGTGTTTTCAACTTTTCATGCTTTTAGTCATTTCAATTATTACATACTGAGGATGGAAACCATGCAAAGAAAAAACACAACCCAGTTGTACGTGACTGCAAGGTAGACCTGCGCACCGGTGGTTTGGTGCCCACAGGGAGCAGGAAACCAGCCATGTGTGTGTGAGCGCAAGGAGTGCAGTGGGCAGCTGCCCTCCCCTTGTCATCTTTTCTCTTGCATACCCTCCCTCCTCCCTTCCTCCTTTTTCTCTTCTTCCTCATCAGGTTCACCCTTGTCCGGTCCTCCCCCTCCCGTGCCCACGGTTCCTCCACCTCCTGCTTCATCACTCGTCTCCTTCACCTTCGTTTCCCTCCTTGCTTTCTTTCCTTCCATGCCTTCGTGGTTTGGTGCCCACAGGGAGCCGGAAACCAGCCATGTGTGTGTGAGCGCAAGGAGCGCAGTGGGCAGCTGCCCTCCCCTTGTCATCTTTTCTCTTACATACCCTCCCTCCTACCCTTCCTCCTTTTTCTCTTCTTCGTCATCAGGTTCACCCTTGTCCGGTCCTCCCCCTCCCGTGCCCACGGTTCCTCCACCTCCTGCTTCATCACTTGTCTCCTTCACCTTCGTTTCCCTCCTTGCTTTCTTTCCTTCCATGCCGTCCTTGCTATCCTCCCTGTTTACTGTCCACCCCATCTTCCTCTTCATCCATACCTACATCATCTTGTTTCTTTTTTTCACTATTTGTCCTTTACTCTCCCACGACCTATTCCTTGTCCTCATCGTTGCCCCTTTTTTGCAGTTGATCATCCATCCCCCCATCATCATCTTCACGTCTTTCTCACCATCCTCCTTGCCTTCTTTGAGCGTTCTCCCTCTCCCCCCCTTGGCGTATTGCCAGTGTCCAGGCACATCAACACACTTAGTCCATCCCAATACACACACAAAACAACGTGTGTGAGCAAGACAGGAAGCAATAAGCAACTGTCCGCCCCTTTTCCTCCTTTCGCACATTTTCCTCCTTTCGTGTATACATCATCCTGCACTAAAACCTCTCCCTCCCACCATTCCTACGTCCTGTGCTTCTCCTCAGCGGCATCATTTTCGCTGCCTTACTTCCTTCTTCCTCCTCGCCTCCACACTATTCCTCCTCGTCGTGCGCCAACTCTCATCTCACCATCCTCGCCGCCTATCCCTGTAGCCTCGTACTTCGCCTCCATGCCCTCCTCACTGTTCATCACCCACACCACCTTCATCTCCATCCTCGTCCCGACAACCTTGCTCAACTTCACCTATATGCCCTTTCCAACCCCAACCCTCCTCCCCAAAAACATCCTCACCACCGTCCTCCTCATCTACCTCCTCCCTGTTCATCACCCACACGACCTTCCCCTTCCTCTCCATCTTCGTCCCCATAACCTTGCTTAACTTTCATCTATTCGCCCTTTCCAACCCCAACGCTCCTCCCCCAGAACCTCCTCACCGCCGTCCTCTCATCTACATCGCTGTTGCTCTCCTAATCATCCTCCCCTTTCCCCGCACCCCTCCCCCCTCATGGTATTCCGCCTCTTCCTGCTTGGTCCTTCCTGACCCCTCTTCCTCCAAGAGCTTTTTCCACTGGACCTCTTCGTTCAAACCGCATTGTCTTCTGTGCCTCATCAAGCTTCCTCTCTCTTAGGGATATAGGGCAACCCTGCACACCAACGTCACCTCCATCCAACACGACATTGCAGCCTGCGAGGCCCGGAAGGATACAGAGGAAATGGAGAAGGTAGCAGGGCAAGGTACCAGCTTTCCTTTGGGTGGGCCTTTGGCTGCAGACATTTGAATTCTAGTCGGCTAACTCTGTGCCAGCAGCCGCGGTAAGACAGAGGATGCAAGCGTTATCTGGACTGATTGCGACTTATTGACCTTGCTCGCAAGTGTGCAACCGCTGTGAGAGAAAAGTCGTACACACTTTGCTTCAGTTATGTATGCTGGTTTTCTTTTTCCTTCCCGCTAAGGAAGTAGGAACACCCGTAACCTTCGGTTCAGTGAACGGGTTTCACGCTATTCGGGGAATTGTAAGCTAAAGGATGGAGTTTGGGCAAATCAATAAGACCATGAATACCCGCTGGTCCAACAGGGCGCGAGACAGCCGGTCATGGAAGGTTTTGGTTGTCAGAGCGGACCAGGCAAAGACTGTGCATGGCAATGCCTCAGCCAGGATGAGGAAGGAGGGGGCATGCCATTGCCTCCTGCCCATCAAGACTAGGACGCTGAAAAATTTCCGTTCTTGATTATCGAGAATGTCTGTGGCAAATGCTTTGGCTTAACTTCCTCATCCATATATCCAAGAATTTCACTTCTGACAACGGAGTACGAATGCCCCAACCGTGCATCCCGAAGATCAACGAAATAGAGGACCAGACTCGTATCGCGTTATTCCACGCGGATATGTTCCGCCAACCATTGTAATCAGCACGAAGGTTGAGTTATTTTCCCCCTTCAAGTCTCTCTCTCTCTCTCTCTCTCTCTCTCACACACACACACACACACACACACACAATAATTCTCACATTATCGGTGCATGATTCGTCATATGAGTAATTACATGATAGCTTACGCCTATGTTTGGCACTCCATCAATAAAGACCGATGGAAGTTATACACCAATTCCTGTGCTCAAGTCACTTCCATGTCACTGTCACAAATATCTTGGAGAAGGTCTAAAAGCCCTGAAAGCAGTTCCCATGTAATAGACTAGTACAGTTCCGATAACTGTTGATAAACCAGACATGAGTTAAGACACAATTCAAATCCTGACGGAGACATCATGCTGGTAGAAGAAGTGGTCCATTACTCTTGCGGGCAATGAAGAGGCGTATAATAGATGCACAAATAGACAAGTTTGGGAGTGTCATGGTACTCGTACCTGGCCGCGCTCGTTTCGGTTTCGAGTTGGTTTTTGCCAACTCAACTCTGAGCTTCACGGATGGATTGCTAGGATCGAAAATGGTACCCTGGAGTAGAAGCACGACGAGCGAAACCTGTTTGTCAGAACTTCGTCTGCAAACTATTTTGAGGAAATTGCATAACCTTGTTCACAAAGATACGCACAAAAACCTGCAGTGTATAAGAGGAGTTGTTATCTACATTGAGGTGTGCATTCCCTTCCTCTCTCCCCGTATCTGCTGTATGATCTGTTATACCCTCCTCATCCGATCACATTGTACCCTCATTATGAAGGTATACAAACTAGCTTTCCGGTCTTATACAGTCGTGATAAGGGTACGTTATCGTGTTCAGGGGAAGACTGTAAAGCAGATCGACATGCCAGGCCAACAGATGTGGATAATGGTGAGAAACAGGTCAGTAGCAATGATGGAACAGTTCAAAGAACTAAGGGTAAAGTCACTCTAGCACCATCTTAAATGTATCTGACCGCATTTACGCCTGCACCTGGATGTATCAGGCGACAATTACGTCCAGAAATAAGTACAGAGTCTCAGTGTGAGTATGCCCTAAGCATTCTCACAAAAATAGTCGACTGGAAAGGAGTTGTACTTAAGATACCATTAGTAACCTTAATTTCACTGGAAAAAATAAACTTTTCTCAATCCAATACTGACTGGATTCATGTTTGATTTCCCAAACTCTTATAAAAAAAACAGCAGTTATCGCGTGATGGTGTCCAGCAAGATACTTTCCCCATTGGATCCAGGGCCACCCGCTTTTTTTCATTTCGGGTCTGGCGTCAGGCCCAGGTGACGTCCACATGTAGTCGCTAATGTGGCGTGGCACAGAGAATTGTGACCGCACGCTGTCCAGTTTTGTCCTCTTCAGGTGCCATGCACGGTGTTCTGTTGTGCAAGGGACTCGGCCCATACAGGGCGACACATGACGCGTGGCGAGGCAGCGAAAAAAGAGCTGGAGCTCATGGGACACAACGTGCGGTGGAACGGGAGGGGGTGCCTCTGTGGCCCACAGTGAACGTGCAAATGAGCCCGTGCAGTCTCCACATTGCTTTGGTTGCTTGATGATTGAAGCATCTCTCTCTCTCTCTCTCTCTCTCTCTCTCTCCCCCACCCACCCACCAACACACACATGCTCATTGAGCCCGGCCAGTGTGGTCTGCCCTGATCCACCACCGTTGACGCAAACTCGCATTCACACTTTCCACATCGCTCTGTGTGGCTTCCCCAAAGCAACGGAGAGTGACCAAAGTCTCTCTCTCTCTCTCTCTCTCTCTCTCTCTCACACACACACACACACACACACACACACACACACACACACACACACACACA